TGTGTCGTCAGATGTTTAAAGGGAGGCCTACCTTATGGAGGTAAATCTATAGACGACATAGAGTAAGTGGATTAATAACTGACTAGGGCATGGCAGGGGAGGAGCCGGGGATGGGGGCTAATAACAGTGAGTGGGAGAAGGACACATATTCTGAATCGGACTGTGGTGATGACTACGACCATGCTTTTTAATGTAACTGAGTGATTAAACTGTACTGAAGTATGTACCCGTGAAGAAACTATTAAAAAGCAACAACAGTGATGGACATAAAACCCTGTTTTGAAAGAGTGGGCAAAGCATGTGGAGGCAGATGGCGCAGAAACAGCCGAGCTTCAACCCAAGCTTGCCCTGGTGGATAAGCCTCTTCTCTTGCTGTTTCTCTTCACCAAACAGTTGCGGCAGAGCAGATGAGTGGGCCCAGCTCTTTTACCAATGAGAACTTGTATTCCAGGTCCTTCTCGTAGATTTTGCATTTTTAAAGATTTTGTCTACCACTATATTGTTAGGCACTCACTAAAGCACAGAACTCCTGGTCAGCACAAAGCTACTTACCTTGCTACACTACCGTAATTTGTACCAACTGCATAAAAACAAGCCACTTATTAACTTTTGAAGCCTTCATGCAGATGGGAGTTCTGATAGGATTCCAGGTGCTCTTTCTTCCCTCAAAAGTTTTTGGGAATTCATGAGAACGACCACACTGGATGAGTGCCGTTCTCCTCAAGGTTCAAGAGAGAAAAATAAATCAATGCCATCTTAAAATTATAATTAACTTTGTTACAAGTCTTAATTATTCTTTTTTGCTTTTTCTTAACTGTTCATTATGACTTTGAAAAGAGGTAGAACACATTTGTACATTTAGATAACCACTTAAGATGCAAGGTCAGACTACCAAGTGGTGTGGGAGGTTTTCCTCGGGCATTTGTAAACTTGCTTAGAAGGCAGGCCTTAAAATCCCAGAAATAGTCACAAGTACACCAAGAGTGGAAATACTATGTTTTAATTACAATCAGAATAAACTGCATTCAGTTAGGAACCAGGGCACTGGCTCTGGTCTCACTCGGCCCAGCGTGATCTTGATGGGAGTCTCTCAACCTCTGGGCACCAGGAGTCCCGTCACAAAGCGCAAGGCATTGAACCAGGCCACCGTGAACGCCCTCTCCAGCTCCGCTCTTTCACGGCGCGGTGAAATCAGGCCAACGTGCTCCAAGCCATTTGGGACCAGGAGTTAAAAATCTGTATTCAACACATGAAAACAAAGTCCATCCTTCTGTGTACATTTGACGTTTTCCGATTTAAAAGCCTCTTCACTGTTAGCGGTAAAAACATTTCTCAAGGATATATGTTTTACATTTCTTGCCTCTATTTATCTTCGGCTTGCTTTTGTAATTTCTCCAAGATCTCTTCTGGCGTTGTGGAGGCCAGAATCTTCACCACCTTCTCACGAGATTTGCCACCCTAGGCCAGAGGGAAAGCAGTGTTAGGATAACCTACTCGACACATTCTCGCCAGTGAGACAGCCCCTCGGCTGTAGCCAGCCACAGCCGTGTCCTCCTGCGGTCCCTACAGGGGGCTGGAGCTTGTTCTAACCACCCTGGTCTAATTAAAGACTCAGATCCCGCCGGACTGAACATTTTACAACCCTCTAGGGTCTTGTGTTGCATAGGTCAATTTCTGTAATAATAAAACTTCTTTGAATAGATTCAAAATGCATATGGAATCGCGATAGAAAATAGTCTAGCCTCAAATAAATTTTTTTGCTTGGATTTAAATGACCAAAATAAATACTGCAATTTTGTATTAACTTTGTATAAAAAGAATTCCAAACATATTAAGAATTGCTGTCACATATCTCTGAAACTTTCAAAAGCAAATTCACATCCAAATGCTGTGGTTCTACTTAAGACAACCTTTTTTAAGAAGAGTTTGCTAAGAGACTCTTTATTAATAGCAGTTAGACAAATAAATGCCAAAGTTGTTTTTATACATCTTTTT